AACCTCATTTTTATATAGTCTGATTTTCTCCAAAGATTTTTTTCCCAAGAGTGTTTTGTGTTTAGATTATATTTCAGCTGCTTTCCCCTACCTTCTCCTAAGTCAGCCTCCTTCCTCTATCCTGATTAACTAGAATTGTGACTACGGTAGAATAACCAATTGCTTATTTTTTTCACCACAAAACCATAGGTTGTCATGGCTTTTCTCCTAGACATTTTAGGAGGTTAGAACTTTTAATCAATTTATATGTAATATATATATTCATATATATATATAATATAATCAACTTATATCTATTGAGGTTTTAATCAAAGAGGCAAGATTTTTTTTAAAGGATTAGATTTACTTAGAGAAATTCAGTAGGTATGACCATTTTCTCCTTTTCCTTCCTTACAGGAAGAAAACTCATTCTTAGTACATCTGTCACTTCTCTACCTTATACACTTCTGCTTTTGTAGTCCTATAGTCTCTGACAGCTGGATATTGTCTCATGAAATGATGATATATTCACATGAGAAAATTTAGGGTTACTTCTTGGAAGAAGTTGGAGAGGTATTGCGAATAGCCCCATATAGATCGTAGAGAATCAAAAAGTCACCTTGTATATCACCAATTAGTTGCAGAGATGTTGTAATACTATTACTAAGCACAATGATAATGATGATAGCTAACATTTTTGAGACTGTAAGATAAGGGCAACAATAATAACAAAGTTATTGTTCACTTTATTCTAAAGACAACATTAAGTGTTTTGCTTGCATTATCTTATAACTCTGGACTAAGCCACCCTTTAAAAACAGTAGAATCTTCTGTTATTGGGCACCTCAGGATTCCAATTTGCAAAGCCAGGCTTTAACTCAATTCTGTACTTTTGTACCAAGAGTTCTCAAAAATTTTGGTCTCAAAACTCCTTTACACACTTAAAAACTAGGATTGAAAGAATTTTCATTTATGTAGGCTTATATCTATTGAGGTTTCTGTATTAGAAATTAAAACTGAGGGGCACCTGGGTGGCGCATTCATTAAGCGTCTGCCTTCGGCTCAGGTCATGATCCCAGGGTCCTGGGATCGAGCCCCGCATCAGGCTCCCTACTCAGCGGGAAGACTGCTTCTCCCACCACTCCCCCTGCTTGTGTTCCCTCTCGCGCTGTGTCTCTCTCTGTCAAATAAATTTAAAAAAAAGAAATTAAAACTGAGGAATTTTTTAAAAATCATTATGTGTTAATTAAATAACATTTTTTAATGAAATATAACTGAATTTTCTAAAACAAAACAAAAAATTAGCAAGAACAGTGCATTGTTATACTTTTTTTTTTTTTTGGCAAATCTCTTTAATGTCTGGCTTAACAGAAGGTAGCTGGATTGTCATATCTGCTTATGCATTCAATCTGTTGCAATTTGTTGTTTTAGTTGAAGTGTATGAAGAAAAACAGCCTCACACAGATATGTCATTGGACAAGGGAAGATTATTTTAATAGCCTTTTCATAAAATTGTGGATATTCTTCTTCAGTACTACCCAAACTCTACAAATGGTAGTTTCTTAAAGGTTAAATGAAATGTGGAATCTGAAACCATATCAATGAACTTTTCCTACTGTGTACACTAATACAGGTAAATGAAAGAGGTTGAGAACTTCTGTCATTAGCTTAGGAAGTTAAGAAACACCCGACCAGCTCAAGACTATGAGTAGACATATTTATGCATTATTTACTTCAACAATTGGCTTTCAAGCCTGAGACAGAAAAGAGACCACTGATTATTTCCTCCCCATCCTGCCAAGATATAGAGAGGATTAAGAAAATGTCTCCAAAGTGGTTGAGAGCTCTGGAATTAAATAAACATAAAATTGTGATCTTAAAGTTAAGTATGCTATTTCCCCTTGAATAAATTGAGATAAGAAATGAATACATCAATATGGTAGATGCTTTCTTAGAGTGAAATAAGGTAAACCTAATTGTACTCAAAGTCTTTAAAATTAGCCAATATTAGCAATGCTAAAATCATTGTGACTGTCAAATGCATTGCTAATTGTGTATCCGGAAATAAAAATTTCCCCCCTGAACATTCTATTTAAGGGAACTTACTATACTTTCCTCAGGAAAATTTAATGTATATTCTATTTTTTTAAAGGAAGAAAAATCACTTTTGTCTGACCACTGAGATCACAAAGCCTTACGTAGTTATTTGTGAATTTTGAAACTGCATGCTTCATCTTTGTATAAACTAAACACTAACCTGAATAAGAAATACATTTTTTCAACATTTACTCTTTTTTCTTCTCTTTTACTAGTATGCTTTAATAGTGTTCTATTTGCTTTGCTAAATAGTGAGATCAGTTTATTTCTACTTGAAGATATGCAAGAGTCTTTTCTACCTATAAATTTTCAACCTATCAACTAACATTAGATTTTCATGACAGTAAGTCATTACTAATGATACACATTTACTTTATGACAACTTTTTCTTGAGGGTGGACAGAGAATATTTATGAATTTGTATATGAAATTTTACTGGGAGAAATATCTTACTTGTAAATAAATGTATTCCATGTGATTTTTTTGTTTAAAATAACAAGTTAAACTCTTTTTAATGTAGAATGGTCATCATTGATTTCTCCGAATATTGTTGATTTTCATTTTAGACAATTAAGAGATCATCCAAAAATTATTTGTTCAGAGGCCCTTTCCATTATGTGTAAGGATATGGGAATAAAGTCTCAAAAAATTCACAAACAATGAACCTAAAGCATTACTTAGCCTCCACTTTTTTTTTCTTAAACCAGTACCATGAGCATCAGAGCTAGAGATGAATATATTTGAGTTCTGTATCAATGTGATACATTTTGTGGTAGTGATATCCGTTTGTTCCCCACCCAGTACCCAAGGTTTTATGTGGCATATTTTAAAACTAACGTGTTTCAAAATATTTGATGACATTAAACACTTTTCATAAAACATCCTCTCTGTATCTTCCTGCTCAACTCTAAGTATCAAAAAACAAATGTTGAAATATTACTACATTAGAAAAAAATCAAATAAATTAATAACATTAGCAACTGCTCCAGAAATAATCCAAATGGAGGCGGGGGAAGCAGTAAGTTTGGGAACAGAGCCATTACATTTTTTGCTTTAAAACTTCTTTATAGCTTACATTTGAGCTCACATTGTTAAAAAGAAAATAAAACTTTATGGATACTGAAGAAAATATGAACACTGGTCTCAGGTGTTTTCTGACAAACATGTGGTGTCTTTTCCAACACCAATTATCCAACTCTCTGATCCTCTGACACCAACTGGGTGTCCTACAATTCAGTCCTATTGTGCCACCAACTATTTAGGGTTAACATCAGACTCCACAGGCTTTAAGGGCTCAGTTCCACAAAGCTGCCCTCACTTTCAACCTCTTTATATAAAGGATGGTCTAGGGACCCCAATCACAAGTACTGGGTCCCCTGGTTACCTGCCCTTCTGACTTGGCTACAAATTCGAGGGTACTAGCAACCAACCCACCCTCATCCCCACTCAAGTTTGATAATTGGCTACAATAACCCACAAAACTCAGGGAAATGTCATGCTATTACAGTTCATTATAAAAGATTAAGATGAAGAGGTAGATAGGGTGAGGTCAAAAGAGTCTCAAGCACAGGAGCTTCTGTCCCCGTGGAGTTGAGATTTACCATTCTGCCAGCACATTGATGTGTTCATCAACTTGGAGGCTCTCCAATCCCTACTGTTTAAAGATTTTTATAGAGGTTCCATTACATAAGCATGATTGATTGAATCATTGGCTATTGGTGATTGAATTCAATTGCCAGTCCCTCTCTCTGAAGATGGTGAGAGGAGGACTGAAAGTTCCAACTTTAACACCCCCCTCCTGAAGCTATCTAGGAACCCACCAAGTCACCTCATTAGCATAAATTCAGGTATGTTTGAAAGGGGTTTGTTATGAATAACAAAAGATACTCCTATTACTCTTTATCACTCAGGAAATTCCAAGGGCTTTAGGAGCTCTGTTCAAGGAACCAGGAACAAGACCAAATATATATTTTAATATATCACAACTGGGTTTCTTCCAGGTAGTGAGGAAGAGGTTATGGAGGTATACCAAGGAGAGATATTTCTCCTTTCATGCTGAACATTCCTGAATCTCTTCCCTGGCCACACCTATATATCAGTTATCTATTGCTGCCTACCATATTACCCCCAAAACTAACAACATCCAATACCTCACAGTTTTGGAAGAAAAGGAATTTGGGCACAACTCAGATGGGTGCCTCTGGCTCAGTGTCTCCCACGAGGATGCAGTCAAACTGTCAGCCAGGACTGTGGTTTCATCTGAAGACTCTACTGGGGTGGACCATCTGCTCCCAAACTCACACACATGGTTGTTGGTAGAACTTGGTCCTCACCATGTGGGCCTCCCCATAGAGCTGCTCAGAGCATGGCAGCTTGCTTTCCCCAAAGCAAGTGATCCAAGTAAGAGAGAACAAGAAAGGGCCCCCAAGATGGAAGCCACAGTCTTTTTATAACTTAGTCTCCAAAATGATATCCCATTACTTCTGCCAATATATTCTGTTCATTAGATATGAGTCAGTAAGTCCAGTCTACACTTTAGCAGAGGGAATTACACAAGGGCATGAATACCCAGGAGGTGGGATCATTGAGGCCTGTCTTAGAGGCCACGTACCACATCCACCCTAACATAATGGATCTTAATTTGGTAAATGATAAGAAATAGAGGACAACAGATGACAAAGAAATTTGTAAAGACATCGGTCTGGTTTCTTTGTCAATTTTACTCTCTCAAGATTCTCCAAAGTTTTGCTCAGAGTATTTTCACTGACCAAAACCAATTCTGATTAATTTTATACTCAGTAGCTGGGTCTAGCAGGAAAGCTGCATACAATCAAAGGGGTAAAATCCCAGTAAAAGTAAATCAGTTTAACTTTACTTATTTACTGCCAAATGAATAACAATCTCATATGCCCATCTTTTTAAAGGGAGAACCAGGTTTCATTGGTCCTCAAGGAGAACCAGGTTTACCAGGGTTACCAGGAACAAAGGTTAGTGGAGTTTTTTTCCTTCCCTTATTTCTGAAATATTTTGTCATATATTTTTAATCCATTGTGTTGAAAGAAGTGTAGAGTGACTTTATTGTTTAGGTGACCAGATATTTTTGCCTAATAGAGAACAAAAACACCTATCACCTACTACTAACACTTCTAACGGAAAACCGTATTAAATAGAGTAATAGGAAGCTAATTCCAGAAAGCCTCAGGTAAGACAACAGGATAATGAAATATATTAGTTGCTCCTGTTTTCCCCAAATTGTTCCTAAATTGATATGATGCTGTTTGCCTCCTGACCATATGAAAAGGTGGGGGAATTCTGATGAGGAGAGATAGAACTCATTAACTGCTGCTCCTTATCGCCAATTTTAGGACATACTTATAAATCAAACATTATTATTATCCCCCTCCCCTTGCCTCCTGCTCACTCCCTATATTTCAAAGGCAAGTACTGATGTCATATAGATTCCTAAGTGTCTCATCTCAAAAGGATCTATTGTGAATAATGTCTGAGAAAGATCCTGTAATGAAAACCATGTCATGATCTTACACTTGGCAACCCTAGAGAGGGACCTAAAAGCAAAATCTATATGCCACCATATAAAAAATTATGTTGCTGTGGATGTAGTTGGACCCATAGTTTTCTTTTTATCTACTCAGTAAGACATAAAAAGGTATGGATGGAACTTTACTCATGACAGACTCATGAATCAAAGGGGCAAAATTAGATCAAACTACATTCTTTTATTTTTAAACTGTAGAAGTCTTTGCCTCAGTGTGTATTGCATTCACCAGAAATAAGCCAGGATGATTTCTAAGAGCTAGGGAAATATGTTCATGGTCTGTTTTGACAGAGGGGTCCTCATTTCTGCTGATCAAGAGAAAATAACTCTAATCCTAGTAAATGGAAATTATGTGTGGCCTAAGGGGGACTGAAACTCAGTAGAATTTATGCAAAATTGCTGTTTTCTCAAGCAATTTCTTTTTCACATAATGAGCTGTCAGGCTTATTAACAAAATATGAGGAATGCCTGTTTTAGCCTGAACAGATTCACACAAGAAATGTGCTTTCTGGAATAAAGAGAGAGAAAGCAAGAGAATAATGAGAATTCTGTGTTCATATGAGAACTGTTGTATTTATTCAGGCTTGCTGCCTCAGAGCCAGGTAAAGAAAGAAGCCAGCCTCATAGATCAGCAAAAGAAATAGAAAACTTGGTCAGTGCCAGAGAGAACCAGGTGTGAACTAGATCTTTAAATGTTTGTGGCATTTTGTTTGCTAAAAAGGGGGAAGTAGAAGAAACACAGGTAGTAGGGAATGGAGTTCATCCCTAAATATCATTTCTTTAGTTCACTGATTTTCAACTTCCCTGAAGTTTCAGGGCACCTGGCCAGCTCAGTCAGCAGACTATGAGACTCTTGATCTCAGGGTTGTGAATTCGAACCCCATGCTTGGTATAGAGATTACTTAAAAACAAAATCTTTGAACTATTCTGGAGTTGGAGCGCCTGGGTGGCTCAGTTGGTTAAGCATCTGCCTTCAGCTCAGGTCATGATCCGAGGGTCCTGGGATCGAGCCCCATGTTGGGCTCCCTGCTCAGGGAGAAGCCTGCTTCTCCCTTTCCTCCCCACTCATGCTCTAACTATCTCTGTTGCTGTTTCTGTCTCTCTCTCTCTCAAATAAATAAATAAAGTCTTTAAAAAAAATAAAAATAAACTACTCTGGGGTTTCAAAAAAAATCCAGGTGTAAAGCCACAAAATCAACATTGATTTCTGTTCATGAAGAACCCAGCCTGATTTTAACAGATACTGCTCTGAATTCCCAATAAAAGTAAAGAATGTACTGTACTTGTTTTGTCTTTCCACAAGAAGGGATGTGGACAGGAAATTTGTTTTATTAACAATATTTTAACAATTATATTAACAATATGAGCAATTTTCAGCTGAATTGCTTAACATGAATTTGGTATCATAATGGAAAAGTCATGTTTATTTAAAATTCTCTCTGAGCCTAAGAGTGGCCTTTTTCCAGTTGTGTAGGCAAGTCTGGATTTGTACCACTAAATTCAGACTTAAAAAATAAACTAATCCTGCATATTTTATCCCCAACACAGTGAAGAGAGATTGTAAGGAAGGAAGTTGTATAATGGTATCTAAAAATTTGTTTTTATGTACTGCTGTTTCCTCAGCATCTGTATCAAGTGTCTGAGAGAAACCTATGTCAGTCTAAAGAAATGGGGTTTTATTACAAATAATTCAGAATATTTGAGTAAAATCTTTATTCATTAATTCAGCACATTTTTTTGCCAGAGATTTTTCTAATATTTGAGGATGAAGAGTAACTGCAACAAAAACTCTCTACTCTCCTGAAGCTTACATTCCAGTATATGTGAGACAGAGGTGGAAGGAGAGATAGAAGTAAACACATAAATAGTATAATTCCATAGGGTGACAAGCAGCTAATTAGGGGCATTGTGACAAAAAGTGATTCTAGGTAAACATATATAGGCTCCATTCCTGTAATATGCTATAGATAAATGATTTTCTCAGGTTTTTGCTTTTCTTTAAAATAAGCTTATAATTACTACTTTAGAATTCTTCTGTAAAATATTAGAAGAAAGACCGAATATGGTACATTTTTTAAAAATTAAAATTCCATACACCAACAGAGACCCTTCCGTCTCTAATCCCTGGAAAATCCCTTTTGGAAGATCTCTTCCATTTCTTCTATCCAGACAAGTTCCTTGCCTTTCTCCCAGGCTCTCCATTTTCACATTCTTTTCAGTTCATGCTGAAGAACCTGCTGAGTCTTCTTTAATCCTTGCCCTAATCTATCCCATCTCCCCTGCAAAACCCCACAGGCATCCCAAAGTGGGCATGATACAGATAAAGATCTTGGAATTTAGAGCCCCAAATCACCCAGGATGGATCCAGTGCTATTTTATTCTCCTTTCCATGATGAATCAGTTCCTTCAGTGAGAAGGGTGCCTTTCTCACCCATAAACATGCCATCACCAGTCTGAATTCCAAACCTTTTTGATTATTGCAATTCTACCTATCAGGCAGGAAGCGGACACTCTCTACTCTGTGCTTAGGAATGGAAAACAACACTGTCTTCCTGGGGAGCAATTTGGCAAGCTTTTCAAATGTTTGTACTTTTTGACCCAGCAATTCCCCAACTAGGAATTTATCCTAAGAAAACGACCAGGGGCGCCTGGGTGGCTCAGTCGGTTAAGCATCTGCTTTCGGCTCAGGTCGTGATCCCAGGGTCCTGGGATGGAGTCCCGCATCGGGCTCCCTGCTCAGTGGGGAGCCTGCTTCTCCCTCTCCCTCTCCCTGCTGCTCTGCCTACTCATGAGCTCTCTGCGTCAAATAAATAAATAAAATCTTTTTAAAAATTAAAAAAAAAAGTCTAATCTTTAAAAAAATAAAATAACCAGATATGTGCAAAGATTTACATACAGAAACATTATGCAAAAAAATACAGAAGTTTGAGCACAGTTTTACATCACAGCTCTCCCACTTTAAAAGCTTTGTGATTTTGGCCAAGTTCCTTAACCTCTCTGAGCTTTATTCAGTCTCCTCATCTGTAGACTCTGGGAACCATCACCTTTCTCCTTTGTCCCAACGATTAAATAAGATAGCGCATGTGAAATGTTTTAGGCAGCTGCTGGACTCATCAACAGCATAGTCATAAACAACAATAATTGTAAAATACAACCTTTAGGACATGACTCGGATCTCACCTCCAGCAAGCCATTCTGGACCATTCAAAACCCTATGGGATTTCCTCTTCTCTCACCATTAGCCTTAATTACTCCTTAATTCTTAACTATTTTGTTTATATGGATCTTGTCTGTCTAACCAGATCATTAGCTCCTTGAGAGCAGTGATCATGTTCATACTTCATAGAGCTATGAATATAGTTAAAAGCTATAACACCTATGTATCTTACACCATTCTGAGCACTTTGCCTTCATAAATCGTGAGATCAGTACTATACTTTTCTTCACATTACAGAGAAAACTGAGGTTTTCAGAACTTAACTAATTTGTCCCAAACACGGAACTGGTAAATAACAGAGCCAGGATTAAAGCCCAGGATATCATCAGATTATAAAATCTGGCACTTAGCCACTTTGCCATGCTTCTCCCTGGCAGATCTTAAAAAGTGGCTACAGAATGAAAACTGTGTCCATGTCTGTCTTGAGATATAATGATGGTTCTTATCAATTCCTAAAGGTCTTCCATTTACCAACATAGGTATCAGATAGGCATTACCAAACCATTTCCTTGTGTATAAAATAGGAATGATAATACAAACATTGAAAAATTGTTTTGATTATTAAATGAGATAACCCATGTTGAGATTAATACAATGCAGGATACATGGTAAATAAATGGTAACTCTGCGCCTTCCTTGATTTTATTGAATTCACTTGTTAATCTACAGGGACCAGCCTGGGGGGAAGGAGGAATTGCCATTTACTTGTTTTGTATTTTGTGACAGGGTGAACGTGGGGTGGCAGGGCCTCCTGGAAGAGGTGAGCGAGGGGAGCCTGGAGCCCCTGGACCAAAGGTCAGTTATTCTTGCATTGGAAGATAGTTTTCTTTGGTTTGGAAATGTGTCCTACTTACTTTAGAACACGAAACTAAAATACAGTTCCTCAACAGGTATTAAAACAGCAAAAATCACAATTTATTGAAATGCACACTGTTTGGTTCTTTTCAAAAGGAATTTTACAATTCAACTTTTCCAGTTTGTTCTGTCCAGTAAACAAATTTAATAACACATCCAAATGTAAAGAGGGAGGTACTGTCATATTAACATGCTATCACTCAGTGTGTATTAAAACTTACCTCTGAAACAAATAATACATTATATGTTAAAAAAAAAAAAAAGAAGATAGTAGGAAGGGAAAAATGAAGGGGGGGGAATCGGAGGGGGAGA